TTGCATGGCTACTGCATTAAACATGGCTTCTATATATCTATGTCTCGGCACTACTCGTCTCGTCAGGAGACCCCGCGCTTTAACTTTTGAGGCATGGAAGGAGCCACATGACCTGTTTTCCGATACATGGAGGAGCAATGTGATTCTGTAAACCGTACATGATTGGTTAAATTGTCCTTTTCGAAAACCTGGCTAACATACCGTTGCCGACGGTTACGGATAAACCTCTAGGGAATAAGACACCTAAATTAAGAACAAAAAACTATTACGTAGATTTAAATTTTCTATAAATTTTCTACCCGTTAGGTGGAAAAAACTAAATGATTGTTGAAAATATCAACTGTTCTTAATATTATCCAAAATGTACAAACAAGATGTTAAACCAGAAATCTAACAAATTAAAATATCGTACTGCATCTGCCATAAAAATAAATATTTTCTGCGAAAAAACTTGGTTTTACTTTTTTTTTGCTCGGAAATATTCAATAAAGATGGAGCCTATTAATTACTTTCTTAAAAAAGAAATAATTGTTAGTTTCGACCTCCCGGTCATCCAACGTCACCAATTCCCAAAGACCTTCTTCTATATATCGACCGTCATACTATATCCTGATAACAAACCGTTATATCCCGCCCCCCAACCCCCCATTGAAATAGTTAAATGAAATATATTATATCCACAAAAACGTTCCCCCAAGGAATACCATTACTTGTTGGCGCCGCGCCGAAGGCGCGCCCCTTTATGAACGAAATCCAAGATTTTGTGAAAGCGAAGCAACTTCGAGCCTTAAGTCCATAGATAGAGTCCGATCATTCGCGATCGGTAGTAGTGCTTGATATAAGCGTTAAATTCCGCGATAATTACACATGAATAGCGAACTGAGATTCGCAAGCAAACATTTCAATGCAATAACCTTTTCATTTTCAAATGCAGATAACCTTTTCGTCTCTTCGGTTTTTTTAATTTATCATTTGTAGTACAACATGGTTATAATTGGTATTTAAAATAAGTAATGATGATTGAATGACCTAATATGGCCCGAAAATCACTATTTAGTAGAGGGATGTAACTCGACTATCGGTAATCTCGGTCTCCCGGTCTATTTTTGACCGGTGATACTAGTGACTCGCGAAAATATCACATCGTTTTTATTGTCCGACTCCTCCCGCTTTTGGGAGTAGATGTTCTGATATCGTTAACAGAACAGAACAAATATTTTACAGATAAATAAGCTTTTTCCAAAATGAATGTTTTGTCACTTAGTTGGTTTAACAATACATTAATAGAACATAGATCACTCTCAATATATTGATTATATATTATATCAAAACATACAATTCGAAAAAAAAAAAAAGCAACAACAACAATAGCATGTCTTCATTCATCTGATCACGAGATACTAAACAAATAAATAGTACAAAATTTGAAAAAGGTCAATTTTTTGGTTAATATGACCATAACTTTGAAACCTTCAATTTGTAATTTGTTATTCGTGTTTAGAAGATGCCGGTGAATTATTCAAAGTAACACAACTCAGATATCATTTACACGGAGTGCTGTTACGTGTAAACGCATCGCACTATTAGAGCTATCGATAATATGAGTACAAGAGAGAAAATACAAATGTACATGGTTTACAGAATAAATAATATTATATATTGGGAAAGATTAACCATAATTTACTGACTTTTTCCAGTAAACGTTTTGACTTATGATCGTCGGTCAATATGAACATTTGAATTCTAAAATTTATTTGTATCAATTTTAATAAAAACAAGAATAGTAAACGTAAAAAAACTCAGTATTAAAATAGCAGCATAAAAAACACATAAAGAGAGAGGAAAACATATTCATAAAATCTGTATTAATTTTTTGTTATTAAAAATAGATATTTTACAATTATTGATAATAAAACAATAATGCTCAACATGACATGGTAATATAACCAGTGTCATATTTTTACTAAAGTGTGAAACAGATACCTTAAGCAGGGGTCTTCGCTAATTAGCGGAATACATAATAAGGGACAATGTCACAAGTGCGGTGTTGATCATGCGTTACACATGGGTATGGATGATAAATGATTGTATACATGTATATCCGTTGCCAATCAAAGTTCATAATGAACAATGTCTTCCGTCCGTTCATTTTGGTAAAAACCAATTAACCATTGAAAAGTTTATAAGAATATCTTGACATCATATGTCTACTAGTTCATCTTCACTTTCTTATTTCTTGCTTGGACGCCCTTTGATGCTTTGCATCAATGCTTTTCTTGTTACGCCTTGGTACGCGTTTAACTTTTGAGGCATGGAGGAGCACGTGACCTGTTTTCGGTACATGGAGAAGCATGTGATCTGTAAATCGTACATGATTGGTTAATTGACCTTTTCGAAAACCTAGCTAAATACCGTTTGCCAGTACGTTACGGATTTACCTCTAGGAAATTAGTCCGAATTACACCTAATTAACAACAAAAAACTAGTACGTGATATTTCTAATTTTATATAATTATTTTACAGTTATAGGTGGAAAAACTTGAATGATGTGTTTGAAAATTATCAATGTTTCTTTAATATCTATCTCAAATTTTATTAACAATAAATTGTTTATACTGAAAATCTACAAAATTAAAATATTCGTAGTGGCATCGATCTGCCATATTAAATAGAGATATTTTCTGCGTAAACTTGTGTGTTTACTTTACTTTTTTTGCTCGGAATTATTCAGAAAATGGTATTTTATCATTTTCTTAAAAAGAAATAATTGTTTTATGTTCGACCTTCTCCGGTCTCAGGTCTTTAACGGTCCACAGTTTCCAAAGACTTTCTTCTATATTGATCGATTATTGTCAACTATATTCCTGATACAAACGTTTATTTATCCCCAAACAATGTTGAAAATAGTTAAATGAAATATCTTTATATCATTTAAAATGATCCCCGCAGGAAACCATTTTACTTGTTTTTATTAGTTCGTCATGTAAACTTTACTTCTGTAAGTAACATTGTCTTTTGTTAGCGCTAGTAGCAGCCTAATAAGTCTAATAAAATTGTGCTAGTAGCAGCTAACAAAACAGGATCGGGTGAATCATCATGTAATTGCGAAAACACGATTGTTCACGGAATTATGCAGAGTGACTTTGGGCGTAGTAATACATGCATATGGTAATATTTTCAACAATACTTATTCTCACTAAAATTTTATTATCATATAATGGCCCTACATATGAAAAATCTTCGACTCATTGGTGATTATTTGTTACAATTTGAGAACTCTATGTGTACTACGCAACAGCAAATCAGAGTTAGTATATTGTTATTTTCCGCCCAAAATGACCAGTCTCTCAATAATCTGTTATAACAAAAGCAACTTATCGCAAAAAACAACAACAACAAAACAACCTACAATGAAGCAGCAAAAAGCAGTCACGGTTGTGAGCAATTAGCAAATGCGTGTTGTAGGTATGAAAAATGGCATTGAAGTGGTAGATCAAATATCGACGCCATTTAAAGAAAAGTTAGGTTCTTCGCAGCAGATAATTAAAATGCTTTACAGAAAATATTACAATAAAAAATTATTTTTACCTGTAGAAAATAAGTCTTAACAATGCATATTTCCAATAATATTGAGGATAAAATCAATATAGAAATTTCAACCTTGTACCTTCGCTATTCAAATAATGAATGAGAGAATGCTATACACTTTGTTTTTTAAGGCAAACAAATTAAGAATAATATTAAGTCTCGGGAAATAGTATTTATCCGAGGACTGAAATTTTTCTGATACTCACTTAACTTCTATAAAATGACAGTAAAAATATCATCCTGAGGAATTCTGTTTTGAGTATATTTATCCAAAGGTATACAGCAAAAGTACGTCATTTGTTACATTGCATCAATTGATTACGTTTTTTCCTGGATACATGTAATTCTGCCTGGTCACACCGGTTTCAAATGTATACATTTTTACCTAGCAAATCATAGTTTTTTAATAACTACAAATAAAACCAATGACAAATGTCTATGAAGAGGTTCTTTTTTTGGTTTATTGAGACAGGTACTTGTTATTTTACATAAAATAAGAAGAGGGTGGGGTAAGTACGGAATGCCGTTAGGTACGGAATGCCGTTAGGGCCATCGCCTATGAATGTGTTGATCTAAAACGCGATAGTCGATAGTACGATGGTGAAAACGCGAAATCACGAAACTACGATGGTGAAAACGCGAAAGCACGATGATGAAAACGCGATAGTACGATGATGAAAACGCGACAGTACGATACACCGATGATGAAAACGCGATAAACTATCGTGTTTTCACCATCGCACTGTCGCGTTTTCACCATCGTAGTTTCGTGATTTCGCGTTTTAATCATCGCACTGTCGAGTATCGCGTTTCAGATCAAACCATTCATAGGCGATGGCTCTAACGGCATTCCGGAATGCCGTTAGGGCCATCGCCTATGAATATGTAAATCTGAAACGCGATAGTCGATAGTACGATGGTGAAAACACGAAATCACGAAACTACGATGGTGAAAACGCGATAGTACGATGATGAAAACGCGATAGTACGATGTTGAAATCACGACAGTACGATGGTGAAAACGAGATAGTACGATGATGAAAACACGACAGTACGATGATGAAAACGCGATAGTACGATGGTGAAAACGCGATAGTACGATGGTGAAAACGCGATACTACGATGATGAAAACACGACAGTACGATGATGAAAACGCGAAATCACGAAACTACGATGGTGAAAACGCGACAGTACAATGGTGAAAACACGATAGTTTATCGCGCTTTCATCATCGTAGTATCGTACTGTCGCGTTTTCATCATCGTATTGTCGCGTTTTCATCATCGTGCTTTCGCATTTTTACCATCGTAGTTTCGTGATTTCGCGTTTTCATCATCGTACTATCGACTATCGCGTTTCAGATCAACACATTCATAGGCAATGGCCCTAACGGCATTCCGTACTAAATACCACTGCTACTATAAGATATTTCATGCAAAAATATAACAACCCAGTTTAGTGAACTCTTATCTATGTATACATGTACATAGCTAAGATCTATTTACACAAATGTTATAAATTAATGTTTTGGACTCAAATTATCCAAAATACTTCAAAATGTAAACAAGATAGCCTATTTTGTTTTTTACAGCACAGCTCGCGTTTAATGTTAGTTCATCGTTTGTTTCGTATTTATTTAGCAAGTTTACCTCATTTTTAGAATGAAATTTAGCATTTAATCAAAAACTAATTTTCTCTAACCATCATAGGTGGGTGTGATTCTGGAGGAGGCGGAATGGGGGGAGGAGGAGGAGGAGGAGGTGGAGGATGCGATTTCGGAGGCGGGGGAGGCGGAGGATTTTCTTCTGGAGGCGGAGACTTCGGTGGCGGAGGCGGTGGATTTTTCTTCTGGAGGCGGTGGATTTTCTTCTGGAGGTGGAGACTTTTGTGGCGGAGGCGGATTTACGTCGAGTGGAGGGATAGACCACAGTGGAAATGTTTTCAGTGCAGATGGTAGCCATAACAATTTTGGTTATAGTCACGGACATAATACGATTGTTCATCCGACTGCTGGTGTGGGATTTGTACCAGGCCCACATGGCGGATATGCTGGTACTCATTATACAACGGCAAATACTTTTGGCCAGCCAGGGTCCAACGTGACAGTCTATGGGGCACAGCCTACAACAGTTTATCAGCCTGATCGTCCCTATAATTCAGTATGTAAGATGCATCCTAATTGTTCGATATTGTTATAGCTTTATATATACCGTTGATGGCTTGTTTATTTTTCCATGCAAAAATTTAAACAAAATGTACCGTACTGTTTAGGAATTATAGACATTTTTCTGAACTAAAGCTTGAATATTAGAAGGGCCTTGTTTAGAATGAGGAAATTCGTTCAAAAATGTTATGTATGTCTTACAAAATTTCTCTTATAATTGCAGGCTCCATGTGCAAAGGCAATGCTGATATTTTCCATAGTGATTTTTGTGATGATTGTTCTTCTAGCAATCCTGATACCAGTTATCGTCTTCACAACTACAATGCATGCATAAACTTTGTGTAAAAACAAAACACATTTGAGCCGCGTCACGACAAGCCAACATAATGGGTTTGCGACCAGCATGGATCCAGACCAGCTTGCGCGTCCGCGCAGTCTGAGAAGGATCCATGCTGTTCGCTATCAGTTTCTCTACTTGTTATAGGGTTTGTAAGCGAACAACATGGATCCTGATCAGACTGCGCGGATGCGCAGGCTGGTCTGGATCCATGCAGGTCGCAAACGCATTACGTTGGTTTTGTCGTGACGCGGCTTATTTTATTTTGTCGAAAAAGAGTTACTTTATCTTATTTCAATTTACTGGAAAACATGTCACCGTGACGCTTAAATAGCATCATGTTTACGTTAATAACGTTATTTAACATTGACTTACCATTGATCTTGTTGATCTGTGCAAACCACAAATAGTAAACAAATGTTTATGCAATATTTTCACTTATTGTACACATACTGTTTTTCTTTGTATATGATTATATACGGTTAGCCAGAAAGACAGACAAACAGACTGAAGGAGACTCTAAAGTTTTTTTTTACCTAAATATAACAGAGGAGATAACTCATGAAATAAAGATGCTAGATTTATGAACATTGTCATACATGATGATACCATTTATAGTCACAAAGAAAAAAAGTAAAAAAATAACAATTTTCAAATATACAATTAAAATGTATAGTTACAAAGATGAAAATTAAAATAAATATATTGTAAGTGTTGATAATGAATGTTTATTTTGAATTTGAGGTAAATATGAAGAAATATGAAAGTTAAAGAATAAATAAGAACAATTCAAATTTTAAGGAGGAGATAATTCTGGAATATGGATTCTAGATTTATAAACCTTTTCATATCATTATGATGTGGGAGTTTGAAGTAAATCCTGAAATGAATGAAGAAATTGGGAGTAAAAATATACCAATTCCTCGAAAAAGTTCAAAGGGGGGGGGGGGGGGGGGGGTAGAGAGGAGGCATAATTCTAAAAAATAGTCTTGCTCTAGAGTATTGAACCTTCTCACATATGTTGAGTGATAATAAGAAACATACATATCAAATTTGAAGCAGATTCATTAAGAAATAAAGAAGTTATTAAAAAAAACAACATTTTTTTCATGAGAATTCTAAGTTCAAGGGAGGTAATTCTGATATTTTTTGTGCTAGAGTTGTAAACCATGTCACATATGATGTGGTTGTTGACCAGAAACTAATATTTAAAGTTTGAAGTAAATACCTTAAGAAATAAAGAAGTTATAGTGAAAAAGCGTAAAAACTGGAATCAGAAATCTTAAAATTCTGTCTATTTGTTGCCATAGCAACCAGAATTTTCAATATAGGAAGTAAAGAAAAAATGTGCATAATCTCAAGACTGCCATCTAACCATATTTCAAGTTTCATAAAAATATTTCAGTACTTTTTACGGTATAACTGGATCCAGTTTATGTGTTTAATTTGCGATATTTTCAGTCTATTTGGTGCCATAGCAACCAGAATTTTCAACATAAGAAAAAAAAATAAGACGTGCATAATCTCCAATACTGTCATCTATTCATATATTAAGTTTCATAAAAATATTTTCAGTACTTTTTAAGTTATCGCGGGATCTAGTTTTGTGGACGGACTTTGTGCAATATTATTTACAGTCAAACAAACAAATATAATTAACGTTTTGTTTGATTTTTATTAAACCTGTCAATTGCACACTACATGTGTAACTATAAGAACGCAATATTTTAATTTTCGAGAGATTTCCGGTAATACTTATGTGCCTACTGCATTGTCCTCTCTATTGTTCATTTGGCAACATAAAGATAAATAGACACGTGCACATAAAAGCTTACTGAATAAATAACATCGAAAAAAAGTACAATCACTTATTGTTCTTGAAGCCACATAAATATCCAAATGTTAGCGTTTAATTTTGAATTGTGTCTGTGAAATAATTATGCTGAACGTTATAGAGCAAAAGGATAAAACAGGGGTTTGTAAATTTTACATTTGCTACGTGTTGTAAGATCGAGACCACTTAGGTCCATGTTTTTTTTTTCTTATTTATATTTTCAACATCATTGAGTCTATGATTGTTTTCATGTTGTTGGTTTTGTTTTAATATGTTTTGTACTTATTTTTGGTAAATTCTATACTTTTGTCATGTAATATTCTTTAAGATTTAATTTCAGTTGGATTAAAGTAAATATAAATGTCATTTCAATTTTGTACAAGGCAGTCTGAAGGACAGCTAAATCCCCTTCCTCAGTGAACATGAATATGTATTTCTTGACCTTTTACCAGCCATAACCTTGATGCTTATGCCATAAGCGCAAAGTCTCATGATTGTGATTATTTGTGCCATGTTATTTAAAATGTTCCATAAAGTAGAAAAAGTTATGGAGAACATATAACCTTGACCTTGGGGGTAGGAACCTGGATGTTGAATCCTCAGATTGTGTCATGTTGATGATCATTTGTGCCAAGTAATTTTAAAACCTTTAAATTGTCAAAAAGTTATAGAGCGGACATGAAAAATAGATTTTTTTACATTGGACCTTTGAGTGTGACCTTGACCTTCAGGGTCGTGACTTGATCATTGTGCTCTGCCAATGGTGTTATAATGGTGATCATTTCTGCCAAGTTATCTTAAAAACATTGCAGTGGTTTAAATTTTATGAACAGACAGGAAATGTAGACTTTCTACCATTTGACCTATAAGTGTGACCTTGACCTTGGATGTAGCAATTCAATTGTTGCGCTCTGCACCTCGTCTCATAATGGTGATCACTCGTGCCAAGTTATTTAAAAAAACTTTTCAGTGGTCCAAAAGTTATGGAGCGGACACAAATTGTATACCTTTTAACACTTGACCTTTAAGTGTGACCTTGACCTTGGGGATAGCAACCCAATTATTGCGCTCTGCACATTGTCTCATAATGGTGATCACTTGTGCCAAGCTATTAAAAAAAAACAGAGGTTTAAAAGTTATGGAGGGGACACGAAATGTAGACTTTTATACATTTGACCTTTAAGTGTGACCTTGACCTTGGGGGTGGCAACCCAATTATTGCGCTCTGCACATGTTCTTATAATGGTGATCAATTGTGCCAAGTTATTTTTTAAAAACTTCAGCGGTTAAAAAGTTATGGAGCGGACACGAAATGTAGACTTTTTAACATTATTCCTTAAAGTGTGACCTTGACCTTTTGGGTAGCAAGCCAATTATTGCGCTCTGCACGTCGTCTTATAATGGTGATCAGTTGTGACAAGTTATTTCAAAAAAATTTCAGCGGTTAAAAAGTTATGGAGCTTCTTTTAATATTTAACCTTTAAGTGTGACCTTGACCTTGGCGGTAGCTACCTAATTATTGCGCTCTGCACCTTGTCTTATTATGGTGATCACTTGTGCCAAGTTATTTAAAAAATAAAAATCAGCAGGTTAAAAGTTATGGAGCGGACACGAAATGTAGACTATAATTATGAAATGAAGACATTTTAACATTTGACCTTTAAGTGTGACCTTGACCTTGGGGGTAGCAATCCAATTATTGCGCTATGCACATTGTCTCATTATGGTAATTACTTGTGCCAAGTTATTCAAAAAAATTTCAACGGTTAAAAAGTTATGGAGCGGACACGAAAGTGTTACAGACGAACAGACGGACAGACAGAAGAACAGACGGATGAAGTGACAGACGGAGGCCATTCCTATACTCCCCTTTCCGCTATGCGAAAGGGGATTAAAAATACAATACAAAAAACAGCCGGCGAATTATTATGTAAACCGACTGGCCACTTACAAATTCAAACCAGACAGCAGTCGATTTATAACAGATACAATCCCTATGAACCACCAATCAAAACCGACGAAAACCCACATTTTAATTATCATCTTTCTTCCATCAGTAGTAAGTGTTCCATGGTCGATTGCTTATCGCTGTCCAATCGGTGGAATCGGTTGTAGAAGGCTGTCAATCGGTTGTTATAGAAATTACACCGATCGCGAATTTTAAACATGTTTAAAAATCACAACTTATCGTTGAAAGGTGGAATAGGTGATATCGGTGTTAAATATGTTGTCATCGGTTCACCCCGTATTTGCTGATCAATAACCGTTGGTTTTGTGAAACTGGGTTGTTATAAGGGCCAGTTACACAGACTGTCCCCAATCGGTCATTTATTTTTAAATTTACACGCTGTTATGATCGGTTGTCATGCGTGATTTTATTTCTGGTTTTCTGTGTAAACGGCCATCAGTGACAGAAAGCAAACTAAAACGGGGTTGGATCGGTGATAAACATGCTGAAATACTATCGGCTTTTATCGTTTGTAAATCGGAGCTAAATCGGGCTTAACGCTGATTAATCGGTGTTTGTTAGCTAGTCATCAGTGGTTAAACACTTTCCGTCAGATATGGCCGGTGATTCATATTTGGTTATCTTTGTTCGATCGGCGATATCGATGATTAAGAACTTGCATATCTCGTGATATAGGTTGCTGTCGGTTACTTGTAAAATATTTTTTCCGATCGAGAATTTTAAACATGTTTAAAAATCCCAATCGGTAATTTTTACCAATAAAACTTATCTTTCCCCAATAGCAGTTGATAACAATAGGTGATATCGGTGTTAAATATGTTGTCATCGGTTCACTCCATAATTTTGCTAAAAAAAACTACCGATTAATCACCAATGGCTCTGTGTAAGTGGGGTGTTACATATGATGGAAATGATAAAAAAGAAGGAAAGTTTCATCACCATCTTCCGATATAACTGATGATATATTCGTGTAGAACAGGAGAACGCAAATGCTAAACCAACAGTTAATTTGTTCGTGGAATCGGCCAGGTTTTGTCACAAATTTATTTAATAATCTGAATGTACCCCTTTGTACAAACAAATTTACCATTGGGTGATTTGAAAACATTTGATAACACTTCTACGGTATTTTGTTTGAGCCATGCAAGGTTTGTCTGTCGCCAATTAAGATTTGACTATTTCTCTTATATACCCTTATTATTATAATATGTAAAAGCAAAAAATTAAAAAAAATCTTTTAAAGTTAAATCTCGCCATTTAATATATTCTTATCAAATCGGTGACATTCCATATGGGACAATTTATTTGGTCCAAACAGGACACTGTACGTTCAGCTATTATGTATCAATGATAGCACTATCCGCACGAGAAAATGTTTTAAAGTTTCTTTATTCAGGTATAAGGAGACATTTTTGAATAGCTCTGTTGGTGATATAGTTTTCTAAACTAATATATAATAAGCAATTATTAAACAACGAAATATTGTAGAAAAAACAAAAACAATCGTTAGAACTTTGACAAATATGAAAGTCAATGGTAATAAATTTTCACTATAATGAACATTAACATACAGCGAACCTAAAACAAATTAAAAAGTATTCAAAATATCTGTATGAAAAAAGTAAAAT